CGTCTGGGCAGGTGTGAAAACCTTGGAGTCAGGATGCTCCATTGAAGTGTTGATAAAAGTTGGCCATTCCATTGTAAACCAAATGTCCATTTGGCAGGAAATACCAAAGCTGGAACAAAGCAGTGATGGGTAGTACGTGACTACAACTATTTCTGCAATGGGGGGCTGTCTCTGCTCCAAGCTGTTGTTTCTTACTGCTCAAAATAATGGAGGTGTGTGCAATAATGGAGGTGTGTGCAATAATGGAGGTGGCACAGTGGGTATATCCCACTGTCTTAACATCTGAACTGTGTTAGTTCGAGCCCCAGGTGGCACAGTGGGTATATCCCACTGTCAACATCCGAACTGTGTTAGTTCGAGCCCCGCGCTGGTGTGAGCAGCCAGCCTGTTGTCCCCAGCTCATCGTCCACCCAGCGATTCGAAAGCTTCGGCGAGTAGATAAAATGGGAACCACTCCTTAGAGAGGGTGGGCACACCAATCTCCCTTGTGGGAGGGTGTTAGCTGACGGTCGGGACGTCCTGGTCGAGGTTCGGAAAAGGCGGAAGAACTTCTTGGCAACAAAAATCCCTGCAGTGGATGTTTCCGGCCAGCCGGTGGCAGTGTGGCGATTTGACATATGGGTCCTGAAGCCTGGTCGACAAGCAGCCATTCGGAAAATGACTGAGCCAAGCCAGAAGACGTTTACACCGTGCAGTGATGGCGTGGGCAATTAAAAATAAATATGTTGTCTTCCCTATTATTATTATTATCATCATCATCATCCCTATGAATATTGTTAGTCCCCTGTCTAAAATGTGTAACTGTAAATCGCTTTGAGCCCACTGGGGAAAGCGATTAATAAATTGAAAGTATCATCATCCTCATCCTCCTCATCCTCCTCATCATTATTCACCAGGCTGGTAACTGGGTAGTTGAAACCTTATTTACGTGTAAGGCTTGTGCAGGCTCCTTCTATGTGTTGCATCACAACAGGTGACTTGGAACGTACAGTTCTTTGAGCCTATGTGTGTGTATGCACAGTCCATTGTGTGTAGCAATAAATATAGTTCATAAAGCAAAATATCAAGTTCATTCTCTAACAAGAGCACTCTACTAATCATATCAGGAAGAAAAGGGAAACAGAAAGAAAGCAAAAAAACCTACGGTATAGAAATAAGGTTGCCAAATCCCAGTTCGAAAATCCCTGGAGATTGAAAAATAGCGGAGCCAGCCTGGAATGCCTGTTCCCTCTGCTCAGCTGTTTTGGGCTGTCTTGTGCAGTCTCTTTAAACTTTAAAGTGCTCCCGCTTCCCAGCTGTTTTTTTGCAGCTTTGCTGCTGCTGTGTTGTTGTTTTCTGGTTTTTTCATTCTCTAGTCTATTGGACTTGAAAAAAAAATCAGCATTTCCAAAATATCTCTGATCGGAATCCTTTACCAGTATTTGATCCGGGATTTTTTGGGAATCCTAAATTTTGGGAGGTCCAATACATCTGAACTAAAAAATACCGGGGGAAGAACTGCACACCCCTAAACCTGACTCATTAATGTTTTCTTGCTATTATTTGTTCTCTTTTGTTCAACCCAGGCCTCATAACAATCATGTAGCATTTGGGGGGAAAGATACAACACAGTAACCCAGCACTGGAGGCCAAGATAGAGAAAATCTCCACGGCTACCATGTAGACTTGCCAACCTTCATGTGGGATGTAGAGCTCTCTTGTAATTACAACTGATCTCCAGATGGCAGAGATCAGTTCCCCTGGTGAAGATGGCTGCTTTAGGAGGTGAAATCTACAGCATTATATCCTGTTGAGGTTCCTCCTCTCCCCAAAACTTGCCCTCCCCAGGCTCCACTCCCAAATGTCCAGGAATTTTCCAACTGGGATTTGGCAACCTTACTTCTATGCTGCAGTTGATTTTACTTTCTTTATGTTTCCCTTTTCTTCCTGATAGACTTAGCAGAGTGTTCAAGGCACATATGCACAGTGGAATATGTGTCCATCTGCTGCTTAAGGAAATAAAGTTCACAGAGAACCCTTTTGGATTTTACTAAGCGCATACGAATCCTTTATTGTAAGGAACAGGATGAAGAAGAGACAGTATTCTGAACTCACTAGCTAAACTAGGATGGATGGAGATGCAGAAAAGCCTGTTCTGCCCTCGGGGTCACAAGATGGAGAGAGACAAAATATAGTAGCTGGAAGGAAGGAAGATTCCATCAGAGTTGCAATCTGAGTAGCAATCTGCACATCAAAGAGACAGCATCAGGGGAGCGGTGGCACAGTGGATATATCCCACTGTCTTAACATCCGAACTGTGTCAGTTTGAGCCCCGCGCTGGTGTGAGCAGACAGCCTGTCATCCCCAGCTCATCGTCCACCCAGCGATTCGAAAGCCTCGGCGAGTAGATAAAATGGGAACCACTCCTTAGAGAGGGTGGGCACACCGACTCCCTTCTGGGAAGGTGTTAGCTCTCGGTTGGAGACGTCCTGGTCTGGACCCGGAAGGCGGAAGAATCTACTCAGCTAAGAAAATCCCTGCAGTGGGATGCTCCTGCCAGGTGGTAGCAGTGTGGCGATGCAGCTGTTGGAACATGACTGAGTCAAGCCAGAAACATTTCCACCGGGCAGTACAGCGTGTGCAACTTAAATGAATTATATGTTGTCTTCCCTATCCCTTATGAAAGACATTGTTAGTCCCCTGTCTAAAAAGTAACTGTAAATCACTTTGAGCCCACTTGTGGGGAAAGCGATTAATCAATCGAAAGCATTATTATTATTATCAGAGCAGTAGAAAAGAAGGGATGCACAGGTTCTGACCTATTTGTCACTCTGACTCTCTATAGTCCTTCTCTGGAGCCTGAGGTTAAGAGATAGTGCAAAGTCCTTTACTTGCAACACTTAACAGTGTCACCTTCCTCACCGAAATCTCAGCTTTCTTTTTGACAGCCTTTGCAGGGCCTCCTTCACCTGATCATTCCTCAGACAATAAATCATGGGGTTCAGAAAAGGTGTGGCAGAAGTGTAGAAAAGTGTTATGGCTTTAGCAGTCTCTCTCTGATTTTCTCCATCGGGAGCTAAGTACATCCCTGCCACAGAGCCATAGAAAAGTGTTACCACCACTATGTGGAATGAAATGGTGGAAAAAGCCTTCCGACGCTTGCCTTCAAAAGAGGGTTTCAGCAGGGTGAGTATGACAATGGCGTAGGACAAGACAGCAAACAACACATTGCCTAAGATCAGGACATTTGCACAAAACTGGAAGACTATGGGAGTGACCCCTAAGGGTGGGCAGGCCAGGGCCAGAATAGGTCCTGGATCACACAAAAAATGATCAATGACATTGGGGCCACAGAAGGACATCTTTGACATCATAATTACTGGGACAACGTATCCCATGAATCCACAGATCCAACAAGCAACCACCAGGTGGTAGCAGGACTCTTGGGTCATGAGTTGTGGATAGTGGAGGGGATGACAGATGGCCAAGTATCGGTCCAAGGCCATGGCTGAGAGGAAGAAATTTTCTGTGGCACCAAAAGAGAATAACAGGTAGAACTGAAGGAAGCAGTCGCTGAAAGGAATGATCCCATAAGGGGATGCCAAGTCGAAGAGCATGCGGGGCGCAGTGGTGCTCACGTAACAGATCTCCAGCCAGGAGAAGTTGCCCAGCAGGATGTACATGGGAAGCCGGGACAAGTGGGTGTCCAGCACCACCAGTGTGATGATGGTGATGTTCTCAGCCAATGTAACTACATAGAGAATGCCAAAGAAAACGAGGAGCAGGAACCGTTCCTGTTGCCCGACGCCAAATCCCAGCAAAATGAATTTCTGCACCCTGGTCCCATTGTCCAACTCCATCTGGAATCACATAACAGAGTCAACATTACATAAATAAGGAATCTCCACTCTCAGAGGCACTAAGTCTCTGAATCCAAGAGCCAGGAGGCAACATCGGGGGAAGGCCTCGCCTCTATGCCTTGTTGTTGGCCCTCCAAAGGAACTGGTTGGCCATTGTGTGAGACAGGATGCTGGACTAGATGGATCAGTGGTCTGACCCAGCAGAGCTCTTCTCATGTTCTTATGTTATAAACTATCGAATGTCTGCCTATCCATAAAATGTTAAGCAGGTATGCTGTTTAGGATGTGCTGGTGGGCAGTTCTCTCTCATGTTTAAGATTACATTTTCCAGAAGCAAATATTTTTAAAACATCTCAGAGGGCGGGTAAATAATAGTTTCAGGATGGTGCCTGGAAAGAGAACTCATCTAGGATCTCAGCGAATCACACATGATAATTTCTCCTCAGAAAACTGCAATATATTGTAACAAAAGTGACATAGCTGTCTCAGGGAAGAATCTCTGCTATCTTACCCATGGACCTTTTGTCTCTCCCTTGCCCCGCAGGGATCCAGCCAGGTCTCCTGTTCTCTGTTGCTAGGCAATACCACACAGAAAATCTCCACAAACAAACCCACCAACCTCTCTGCCCACCAACCTTTCCTTCCCCCAGATGGCAGCACTCCCGTAGACTTATTTACATAAATGCAGAATGCTTAAAAAAAAACCCTGAGCATATATTCCATAAAATATACAATGCTTCCCCCCCCACACACACAGAACATTGTCTGGGCAACCCTTACAACAATCCTGAGAAGGGGGCCTGTTTTATTGTCCCCGTATTATAAAGGAGGGAGTTTAGGAAGTGAGAGCAGTTTGCCCAGAGCTGTCCAGTGAGCTTATGGCTGATGACATTTTCAAGTTTCAGCTGTACAGCCCAGCTTCCTCACTCTCTGTCTAGTGGTCCATCTAGTGAAGCCAGATTTAATCCAGCTCCCCATCCCACATGGCTTTTGTCCAAGCAAGTCCCATTATTGTCAAATAGCCCTTTTGGATGGTCAAGGGAGACCCCTCTTTCCTTTGCTGCCTTTGGCATATCTGGTTGGATCATACCCCTCTGCTACATTTCCAAATGGGGTTGTTTTGGACTGGATTGAAACTAACGTTCCAGATTATTTTCTAGTTTCCGTTCCTTTTAGAACGCAACAGTTACTTTGCCTTTGTTTTGCCATTTGGGGAGAAAAGGAGACTTTTCTTAAAAAGCCATTAGTGTGATTTTTTTAGCCTATCTTGTTAACATTTGTTTCAAATGGTGTTCTTTTTCAATTTTATTTCTATACCGCTCTAATCCCGAAGGTTCTCTGAGCGGTTTACATTGCAAATTACCAATTCTAACTAGGGCCACATAGTATTGGGGGGGGGGGAGGTGAATACCTATTAGGCACCCTGCTGGTTCTTTGTCGATCTCCCAGAGGATCTTCTCTCCTTTGATTCTGCACAGTAGATGTCTTTTTTTGGCTTGCCTCCGCAGCGGCTCCTTCCGGGCAGTTCCGTTGCTCCGTGACTGTATGGCGCCCCTTCCTCGGCCTCTGTCCTTGATAGGCTCCAGTCGAGCTGTGCCGTCGTGTCGCCATGTCCCCGGACCAGTCCCCGCCTTGGAATACTCGCTGCCTGATGTTAGATACGCCGCCATTCTCCGCTGAATCGCCGGATCGCCCTGTCGCCGACACCATTACTCCTCTCCATCGCCGCTCCACCGGAAGGCGGGTGCCCCCCTGCACCTAAGGCAGGTACCCATTTATCTACTTGCAAGCTTTCGAACCGCTGGGTAGGTGGGAGCTGGGACGAGGGCCGGGAGGTCACCCTGGCCACGGTGGGACTTGAACAGCCTTGTGGCTGTTCGTAGATAGATTACCTGCAGGCATCTTTCCTGCGCCACCGGTCCTTTGCAAATACTTTCACTCTTCCTTCCCCATTTTCTCATTGTAAAAAGCCACCCCTGGGTGTTTTTACTCTATCTAGGGGGAAAATTATGAACGTACTGTCTCCCTCCTAGAGAATGCAATTGCTGAGGGGGGGGGAAAGTATTTTAAACATACCCAGAAGAAGGTACTCTGTGTAGCTGATCCATGGGATTTAGCTCTCCTTTTACAAGTGCCAAGCAAATGTACTGATGATTAAATATTCTATTCAAAATTAAGTATTAAACAAGGAAACGATTGTAGTCTATTGTTAACACACACTTCTCAGAAACGAGTGTGGGACAGGGATGGGCAGTCAGAAATAACTCTTTCTCTCCCCCCCACTCTTTTTCACCAACAGTTTATAATGCTTTATCCAAATTTAATTGAAGAAACCCAAATCTTTTTCTTGGTTGGGGCATCTATTGAAGATTGATCCCTCTACATTTCACACCTCAGTCTTCTTTCTTTTGTTCATTTCTTTACCTTAGAAGCATTCAAAGTGCTGCTCCACCCAGTAGAAGTCCACCGCTTAAGGTCAGTAGTAAGAACTCCTACATGGTGGCCCCACTGTCCAGCTCCATCTGGAGGAGAGATCTGAATGGTGACAAGGCTAGTCTTCTTGCGTCCAATAGGAAGTAAAAACTCTTTTTGATTCTTGGAGTTCCTGCAATAAGTACCCTTATTTGTAAATATAGGCTTTGGTAGGTCAGGAGTAATGTGCCAAGAAGGAAGGCAGTACGGAGTAGAACAGATAGTGTTTTTTGAACTTTACTAACAAGTGGTTTAGCTCAGGGAAAACTTCATCCCTACACCTTCTACCTGTTTTCACTTGAACCCTCTTTGACAACGTATACTTAAAATGTTGAAAGCAACAATGCAGAGTCAGGATGGTCTCCAGACATAGTGGACATAGCCAAGCAGTGTTAAGTAAAAAGAGTTCCCACTTCTTTCTAAGAAGCTAAGAAGTGCTTTGCTAGATCATACCTAAGTGCAACTAATCCAGCATTCTTTTCCAGAATCCCAGCAAACAGAGGGCCATAGCTTACCACCCAGAAATTACCCAGTGGTCTACTGGTGGATCACGTTCTTCCTTCTCCCAATCCTGGTTTCGTAAGTGCTAGGTTAAATCATGTGACTACTGCAGTAATATCTTAATGTTAATCAATTCTTTGTCTGCTGAGAATGCAGAATGTATCACAGTCTTACACATTCTCTTTCAAATATGCCTCGGCGAACCTCACCTTCTAGGGTCCTCATGTCAACTGTTTTTGTCTAGTAGTCCAGAATTTTGTTCCTCACTCAGTCGTGCACAGTGCTCGCCTTCAACCAGTTGGGGACATGAACTAGACCTAACATTGGCATATTTCCTTGGATCACTTGAGGTTTGGATGTGGTCTTAATGGTGGACAGAGAAGAGACGACACTGATGATGGCTTAGTTTGAGCAGAATAGCTGGGTGTTGGGTTAGGAGCTTTTATTCTGGGTTTTGTTTACTGAAGCTTTATCCAAGACATGAATGGGTGCTGGTCTACTGAGGAGAGTTTCCCATCAAAACAAGATCTCTCTTGGAGACCAATTACTCATTCACTAGAGAACCAGGAACTTATTAGAACTTTAATAACTTATTAGGTCTTTGTTTTCTCCAAAATTCCATGGAGAAATGGAATGGGGAGCTGCTTATTACCCTTCCAGCTGCCCCCCTTGAATCCCCCCATACACACGAGTAAAATAAATGGCTTCTTATGGATGATGAAATAATATCTGTTTATGCCATCAGACATGCTTAATGAGCACTTGGGGAGATAGCTATTGCTTTTGCTGGTCCACCTGGAGGCATTCAACAGAAATATGTACCCCGAATACTATACAAAAAACTATTCAGTGCAGCCCTCAGGGCATGTGTACAGTACCTAAGCAAAGTTTGTGGGCACACAAGGCAGGTGTCCCTAACCCTTTTAAGCCTGTGGGCACCTTTGGAATTCTGGCATGTGGTTGGTGCAACAACAAAATGGCTGCCACAGCAGGATAAGCCAACCGCAAATGGCTGCAGTGGGAAGCAGAACCACACATACACTCAGAGGGAGTCCAAGTGCAGAGGAGAAGAGGAGTAATTTTAAAAATACCCTGGAAAAGAGGAGTGTGTGAGAAGACAACCAGCACTGTGGTGGCCACTGCCAACAAAGCAATACTAGTTTAATCTGCACAGCCAGTCAGATCTCCAATAGCCAATCAGAAGCCATGATAAGCAAGAGCTCCACCTGGCTCCACTCACTTTTTTGAAGACACTTGGCAGTTGCCAGGTAAGGTGTCAGAGAGGACCATAGCACCCTTTGGCACCACATTGAGGACCTGTGACGTTAGGTTATCAGTAACACAGATGTGGTTTGTAAATTGACAGGGCCTGTTTATACATAACTATATATGTGGGTTGGCAGCTGGACCAGAAAGTGCTACCCCCCCCCCACAGGTTGGGTTGGATCCAGCCATGTTTTTGCTTAGTCTTTCTTAGTTCCCCTCTTTATTAAAGCCTCCATCTCACATGCTTTCTGTTCATGCAGATCCCACGATCACCAGCATAGCCTTTTTGGATGGTTAAAGGGGAGCTCTTCGTCCTATTATCACTAGCAGAAAAGTTGATTGGATCCAACCCATTGGCTTTGCATGTCATGTTGTATTAATGTAGCTCAGCGATGCTCTAAATCTACATCTCTGTGGCAAACTGGTAACAATAAACAGAGAGTCAATCAACCAATCAGTCTTTATTGCATTAGCAAAAAAAAAAAGCCATAGTAACAAGCAGTGTTTCCTCTAAGCTGAATTAGTGTGAGCTGGCTCACAGTTTTTTAGCCTCCAGCTCATACATTTTTTGTCTTAGCTCAGGAAGGATGGCTTCAGAGCAAACTAATTTATGCAGTAGCCAAATCGCCTGCTCACAACTTTAATGCCAGGAGCTCACAAAGTAGTACTTTTGCTCACAAGACTCCACAGCTTAGAGGGAGCATTGGCAACAAGATTCCACCAATACAGAACCAAAAGGGACAAACACAATAAAATAATTTAAAAATTAAACATTTTCCAATTAGTATTAAAATACAAATACAAAATCATTAAAACTGTATATCTAAAAATAAGAGGGAAAAACCTTACACTACAGAGGCAAATAAAAGATGACAAATAAACGAGGTCCAGATCAAAATATTTCAATTAGGCTCTGCTCCATATTCATTACAAGTCGAAAATACCTCTCATTTATAGAAGTGTCTTTGCTATACGTCAATGAAGACATACCGGATTTACCTGACGAAGGAATATGTCCGAAAGGCTGACTATCAGGAACTGCATAGTTTTCATTTGGGACGGATCTTTTTCTACAAGCCACAACATATGGATATTTGGACTGATTCAAGGACTTGCCATATTTATATAAGCAATTCTTTGCTTTTGTGTGCTTTTTCTATTAATGAAGGATGTCTGCTGCTCTGGAGATGTGCTGTGACTTATTGTGGGTTTGAGTTTGTTACCACCCACTTTTTGATAATTGCTCTTCATAACATTGATATTCCATTATAATATATATGAGTTCGGGATTATTATTGACTTTGGTTTCTATGAGGAATTTCAGACAGACGATATATTCCGGAAGAGGAATGGTTCCCAAATAGGTTTCTGGTCTGTCGTTTCAGACAGAACCATTTGAGAACCGGTTCCCTTCCGGAATATATTTGTAATTTCAGGCACAAACGCTTCTGTCCTGTTTAGGAAACAGGGCTGAAGCATTTTACCTGTTAACCACTTCCAAGTAGTCTTCAGTTTCCTCTCCCGGTTCCAATGCGCTTTTCCCTACCGTTTTCACCCGTGCGGGCTATCATCAGCTTTTTTTGGGGGGGGGGAACGTTTGCTTTATAAAGTGAATGTTTTTTTTAAAAAAGATGGAGATCACCCACGCAGGCGAAAAATGGCAGGAAAACAAAGTGGTGCAGTCTGAAAGGCCAAACCGCTTCTGATCCGGCTCTTTTCTGGTAGGGGAAAGCCCTGTGTGAAATGGCAGCCCTGTACTAGTTCACTTCAAAACGGATCATTACCGGCTTGAAACCGGGTGAAACCGGGTAATGTGAAATTCCTCTATATAGTTATTGCTGCATGTACTTAGTGTATTTTGAGTACAGGTTTGTTTGTTATTCCACTAGCTGGTCTTCTGAAGCTCCCCTCCCTCTTGCTTAAGAAGTCTTAGGCATGTAGTTAGCTTTTCCTATATCAGATCACTAATCTCCTGACAAGAGATACATCCAGCAATGTGTATAGTCCATCGCGGGGTATTGTACACAAGTGAATACTCTCAGAGAATCTTGTCTCAATTTCATTTTAATTAAAGCATAACTATTTACATCTTTAACATGACTTACTAAAATATGCTAATACCAGTCATTCATTCGACATAGATACTTAGAGGACAGCCGGAAGAAGTCCATTAAATGTCTCTTGCCAGACTTAAACAGGGTCACAGGAAAGGAGAGATGATCAAGTCAGACTTCCATATTAATAGGCTTTCACAATACCTTCTCAGTTAAGTTTGCTTACGATGTCTTCTTCACCCCCCTTTAAACTGTAATATTTCTCCCCAGTAATGACACCTTTCTTCTCCTCAACCTGCCCAAGGCTTCCTTCACCTGATCATTCCTCAAGCAATAAATCATGGGGTTCAGAAAGGGTGTAATGGAAGTGTAGAAGAGCGTAACAGCTTTTGTGACCTCTGCCTGATTTTCTCCTTCTGGACAGATGTATATAGCTGCCACAGAGCCATAGAAAAGCGTCACCACTATTAGATGGAAGGATATGGTGGAGAAGGCCTTCCTCCGACTGCCCTTGAAAGAGGGTTTCATCAGGGTGACAATCACAGTGCCATAGGAGACCACAATAAACAACACAATGCTTAAAACCAAAGTATCAACAAACATCTGACAGACAAAGGGAGTAACTCCTAGGGGTGGGCAGGCCAGGGACAGGATGGGCTCAGCATCGCATAAAAAATGGTCAATGATGTTGGGGCCACAGAAGGACAACTTGGAGATCATAGTCACTGGAATGATGTAGGCCATGAAGCCAAGGCCCCAACAAGCAATCACCAGAGCAAAACAGAAATCGTGGGACATAATTTGTGGGTAGCGCAGTGGGTGGCAGATGGCCAAGTACCGATCCAAGGCCATGGCTGAGAGGAACAGATCTTCAGAGGTACCAAGAGAAAATAAAAGGTAGAACTGGAAGAAACAGTCCCTGAAAGAGATGACGCCTTGAGGGGTTGTCAGATCAAAGATCAACCGGGGCACAGTGGTGCTCACATAAGTGATCTCTAGCAAGGAGAAGTTGCTCAGCAGGATATACATGGGAAGGCGGGACAGGTGGGTGTCCAGAACCACCAGTATGATGATGGTGAGGTTCTCAGCCAATGTGAGCACATAGAGAATGGCGAAAAAGATGAGGAGCAGGAACCGCTCCTGTTGGCTGACTCCAAATCCAAGCAAAATGAATTCCGTCACTGTGGTCCCATTGTCCATTTGGCCCATCTCCATCTGGAATCAGATGACATCATCACATAGCAGAAGCAAATATTGCCTTCATGTCTGCTTGTCTAGCTAAAGATTGCCTGTCAGTGAAGTCTGTTGGAAAATTTGGTAAAAATAGTTGAATATTCAGAGTTTGCAATGGATCTTTGTTCACTGGAGAGGAGGCATTTTCTTTCTGTGTAAAAATCTTTATTTTTAAAGGGAAGGGTACACGGGAAATCTACAAAACAACAAACACTTAGGACTATATGCTTGCAACAGACAGACAGATAGTAATGGAGATTCTTCTTTCTTCTTGACCCCTAGAAAGAAATGACCTGAATACATTTAACTAATAATTGTTAGTAAGTAGGCTCCAGTTTCCCAGGCTTTCTTCCCATCGGCTTTGTGCCAGGTTGCCTTCCAGGTCAATCTAAACAATAGCACACAAGGTAAATACATTAACCCTATAATGATCTTGTAACACACATATTTCCAAACAAAGTCTTCCACCACATTGAGTTTTGACATCCCAGGGCAATAAGTTTCTCATCTGTTATAGAAACACAGCTTCAAGAAGCCAAAGCAAGGCATATAGAACTAAAATTCACACAATTTCTTCCCCATTCGTCTCCATCTCTGCCTCTCTTTGAGGTCTCCTTTGTGCCAAATTGTTATATTGTAAGTTCCTCAGAAAGGGGACTTTTTAATTCTGCAAAACACCATAATGTAGAACCCAATAATGACAAAGTGTAGAACGTAATAAGGACAAAAGCACTTTGAGTATAGCCAGGAATCTGCCCTCCCCTAGCCACAGATACTGGTTCCCTCTCCCTTGCTGCTGACACAGTGTCAGATCAAATAATGGAAAGCCAATTCATTGTAAAAATAAAAGGGGACACATAACCTCACCTAGCAACATGCGTATGCATTTTCCATTTTTTACCTGAAGACGCCTCTTCCTTAGGTGTAAGACTGCTTAGTTGCAATTTTTCTCTTCATATGTGCATGCGCGCACCTGGAAGACATGGCAACCTTGAGTGACTGACTCCTACTGGGGGCCTGGAGGATATTCAGAGAGGTAGCTGAATAAAGCCTGCCCCCACCTCCCGACTGCTGGTATTCCAAGGAGGTCTCCCATCCAAGTACTTGCCAGAGTCGACCCTGCTTAGCTCCCGAGATGTGACGAGATTGGGCTTCCCTGGGCTATCCAGGTCAGGGCAGGTTGCAATTTCTCTCTTAATATATTTTACTGAGTATAAACAAAGATATTTTAATGGAATAACAAATACATATTATGCATTTATTTTTTTTACTTCATGTATACCTTGCTATTTTTCCCCAGTCGGGACACAACGTGGCTTCCCACTGTTCTCCTCTCCTCCTTTTTATCCTCACCAGTACCTCAGGAAGAAGGTTAAGTTGAAATGGTATGCCTTGCCCAAGGTCCCCCAGCAAGATTCCATGGCAGAGTGGGGATTCGAACCTGGGTCTCACAGACCCTAGTCCAGTCATCTAACGACTACACAACACTGGCTCTCAAACGACTGTGTCACTACTTGGCTTTTTGGCCTCAGTCAGAACCTTCAGTCTCTCTGCTGCAAGGGTCACCCCAAATAGGGTTACCCTAGCACAGTGATGGCTAGTCAGGTATGCACATACAGAAATCATTATCCCTCAGGAGTGAAGCTGATATGGCTAGGTGCATATGCAGGGAGAGGGAGACCGTCACCCAGAACCGTGTGAATTCTTCTTGTTATGCAAATAGATACTCAGTCAAAAAAATTGAAGTCAAAATGAGGAGGAAGGTCTTAGTGTTTTAATTGCAATCAAGACACCTGAAAACAGTTAGGCCAAACCAGCCCATCCAAAATTGACTGCTTTCTGAACACAATCAGGAAGTACCTGAAATTTTATACTTGAAATGACATAGTCATGAAGATAACATTCAAAAAGCATAATTGGTTGTAAAGAACGATACATCATGTGAGTAATAATCCACTTATTGGTCAAATGTAAAGAAAGGTGTGTCTAAATAATCTCTTAAAATGTTTACTTAACCTAACCTGAATAATATTGGCCAAGGATTCTTCCTACCCAAACAAAGGTGTTTTCCCCCCGATATGAAGCTAAAATCCCTTTTGACCCAGACACTGCAAACTTTTACCCTAAACAACCAAAACCCATGAACTCTATGCCTATCTTCTATACCAAAAGAATGTTGTTTTCTTGTCTGCTAGCATCAGCTAGAAAATCAATCTAACCTACAAGAAGAAGGCCTACTATTTAATAGGCCTTCATTACATCCTAATAAAATCTTACTTAGGAGAAAAATCTATAAAACCAGAAAAATATGAATAAATAAGAACATAGAAGACACCAATGTTGGATCAGGCCAAAGGCCCATCCAGTCCAACACTCTGTCACACACTGGCCAAAAATACCAGGTGACATCAGGAGGTCCACCAGTCAGGCCAGGGCACTAGAAGCCTCCCCTCACTGTTGCCTCCCCCCAGCACCAAGAATACAGAGCATCCCTTGCCCCAGACCGAAAGTTCCTATCTATACCGGAATTCACTGCCACAGGAAGTGGTGGCGGCTACAAGCATGGACGGCTTCAAGAGGGAATTAGATAAGCACATGGAGCAGAGGTCCATCAGTGGGGATGTACTATTGCAATATTGGGGGAGCCAGAACGACCGCTCGCCCATCACACCCGAACCCGACCGCTCAGCAATTTCATGGAGTGCCCACAAGTTCTTGTATTGTGAGAAAGGGAGAAAAGTACCTCTTTCTCTACCTGCTCTATCCCATGCATAATCTTATAAACTTCAATCATGTCACCCCTCAGTCGTCGTTTCTCCAAGCTAAAGAGCCCTAAGCACTTTAACCTTTCCTCATTAAAAAATCGTTATATTCCCATTCATACTACAAGTCGCCTCCTTGGTACAGTGTCCATGTACAGGCTCACTGCTACCACTATAAATCTCTATGCTATACTATAAATCTGCTACCACTATAAATTTCTTCAATTTTTTTGACGGGGAATCTATTTGTATAACATTCTCATGCATGGTCATGAGCACTCACAGCTGCTGCCTTCCCCTCAAACAGTAACATTGCAGTCTGGGTTTTAGGAAGCCTCTTAGAGTGAAGAAAAGCTTGAGGAGGAAATCCTCACCTGCAGTTCAGCCGGAGAGGGGGGGAAAAACACTTCCCAAGAGTTGAACAGAGAGTGAAAAGCTACAGGAAACAGAGATCTGGAACCAGGCTTAATGGCTTCCCCTTTCTTCTTCAAGACCTCCTTCACAAACCACCCAATTATAATTTTGTGTTTGCGTAGGAGTTGCCCATGGCCACATCCCTTATCAAAGAAATGCCTCCCAAAGAAACTTCCATAATGTTGAGAGCCAGAATGGTGGAGTACTGAGAGTGTCAGACGAGGACCTGAGAGATGCAGGCTCGAAACCCCACTCTGCCATGGACACTTGCTGGGTGAACTTGGGCCAGTCATGCCGTATCAGCCAGACCTACCTGACAGGGTTGGTCTGAGTGAAGATAAAATGGAGACGGGGAGACTGTTGTAAGCGACTTTGTATCCTCACTAGGGCGAAAGGTGGGGTCAAAATGAACTCCATTCCATCTGAATCTTGGTATGGTCAAAGTACCTCTTGAGAAGATGAGTTGTCTTCCACACAGAGGATGCTGCTGATACTGAGCTAAGGACCGCTCTTTGTACAGATGGCCGTTGATAAGTCAGTAGGAAACATGCAGCCTAATTTAAATGCATCTCTTGCTGAATCACCGGGAAGTCCTCTTATTCTGCAACTATTTGCCAAAACTGCATTATGTAGCATACAACAGGCAGTCCGCAGGAAATTAATAGACGTGCAAATGGTGTTCCTTCTTCTGCCCACCCTTCATTTTAATGTCTAGTTATATAATTTTTAAAAAGCATTATAGATTTGTCTGAATCAAACCGTTGTGTGAATGGGAAGCAGGAACAAAAACCCTGAAATCTTTCTGACCAGTCTTCCTCTCCGATGGCACTGTTATCAAAACTAGGCTCATAGAAGGACTTCTCAATCTCTCTCTGCTTCGATGTACCTCAGTAGCGCACGGGCAACTATTCAAGACTCAAACCGGTTCTGGTGGCGGAGATGGAGGAGCAGGCTGAGGGCAGGAAACTCGGTTGTGGGTCCTCCATGGAGTACGAAACCATTCTTAAAAGATTTGCAGAAGTTTTCCTTCAGGAAATGAACAGATCTTGGGCACTTATTTACAGTCCTTTTTCTTCCCGTCTAAACACAATCTCCTCAGAGACTAATTGCCTCAACTGAGAGAAGCAATAATTTATATGTTGTTTGTTTTTCCAAGTAATGAGGCCTCCAAGAAGGGCAGATGGAACTATTTGACTTCTGCTGTAGTATTAGTTGGGCCGGATTCAGCTTTTCACCTCTGGTCTCATGGAACTTGACCACTTGTTTCTGGAGGTTATTGATTGCTGCCTATCAGTTATCATGGGGGAGGGGAAATGGTTCACCCTTCCTGCATTTATTGGGCTGCTGCTGGGTGGATGACTGCCTAATTACTGGTGCAGTGGGAAGTCCTCTCTGTGCCTCCCATTTTGCTGCCTTCCCGGTCTTGAGGACTGAAGGCAAGATACAGCAAACCCAGGATAAAAGTGAAGGCCCTGCCATTTTGCTAACGTATCTGGGGATCCTACTGGGTTTCACCCATGGCACCTCCCGAGTGCTGGATGGCAATCTGGCTGCTTATCATCACCCTTATAGTGATTGTCCTCACCAGCTGTGATGGGAGGCTGTGGCTCAGTGGTAGGGCATCTACTTGGCATGTAGAAGGTCCCAGGTTCAGTCCCTGGCATCTCCTGTTAAAAGATTTGGCAGTAGGTGATGGGAAAGGCCTCAATCCGAAACCCTGGAGAACCACTGTCAGAGTAGACAATACTGAACTTGATGGACTGACGGTCTGATTCAGTATACGGCCGCTTCATGTATTCATGTGGG